TCTCTTATACACATCTTATATATATATATATATATATATATGTAATATTTAGCCCATTCGTATATTCAATAGTTACTATATCAATTTTCATAACGGTTAATGACACCATGCGTATATTTATAGCTATGGTTAGTGCCTGAGCTGTATTATTTATAGTCATGTTTATAACTTCATCGCTAACATATCGAAATTATACGGTTTTGAGGCCATAATTTACAGCAAGCTGTAACAATTCATGTTATTAATATTGTAATCTATACATTTAGAATTAGTTTATTCCAGTGCATGATGGGAAGGAATTAGTAGAGCAGTGCAGATCAGTGGCACACTGTCCGTTAAATATTACAGTCTATACTTTGTCTAATGATGGTAGGCATAATACGTTGACTTTTACTTCTAGTCTAATACTGATCTTTACAAATGCGGGCTGGGTATACTTTTCCAGTTTACAAGAATCAAGAAACATACATTTACATGTGATAGAGGGCTCTACTCACGTCTTAAAATTTACTTTATACCTCCATGCAGTAATTAAGTATCAGTGTGTAATTAAGTACAGTAATTAAGTACAGTAATTAAGTACAGTTGAGCAAGAGTGTGCAACTCGGGGATCCTCATTTACAAAACTGTGTGCGGGCAGTTTTTATAGCCAGGCTCCGGTGTTAAAAAAAAAGGAATGTTACACAAATGAATTTCTAAGACTTTGAACGAGTTTAAAGAAAAAATCTCGGGTACTGTTAATAAGATACAGATAAAAAGCTTGGAAGAAAATGGTTAACGTGATTAGCTGAGAAACTGGTGTAGGCCTACAACCTGGGGAATAATGAGTGCCGTAAAAAACAATGTGCAGCCGGAGTTTAACGTGATTAAACAGGCTGGGGACGAGCTTTACGATAGTGTTGAGCAATAGTGTGCAAACCCGGGATACATAAGACTCGGTCAAAAACAAAAACTATGTGCAGATCCTGGCATTAGCGCGATTAGTTTAGCAACAGTTTACAACAATGGGATGAACATGTCTAATTAATTAATTAAATACACACTGTGTGTGCAGCCTGGCATTAGCGTGATCAGTTGAGTACCAATTTACAACGTGAGTATTCATACGCGGCAAGTTGAGCAACAGTGCTCAACAAGGGGATAACAGGTCTAGTTAAAAAAATGCAGCCGTTTTTTAACGTGGTTTTAAGCAACAGTTTGCAACCTGGGAATTCTATGGATTAGTTTTGAGTGTGTCCCAACCGGGGTTGTGCAATCTCGGGAATTAACAGGTCTACAGGCTCAGGTGAAATAGTGCCGGTTAAGGTTTAAGATTAGTTTAGCAACATTGGCAACACAAGGATTAACAAGTTATGTTATCAATTTTTATTATCCCTATTGGATCAAGAGTGTGCAACCAAACCGGAATTATTCATTTTGCGCTACTTTAATGAACAATGAACATTACGGGAGAATTCAGTATAAATAACATAATCCGTATTATCACTGTTTATTATTATAAATATCATTATAATGAAAAATGTAAAATGTATATGTAAGTATGGTCTTCGATTAATATCGTTAATGATATTTGGGTAAGCCCTCTGTGTCAGTAACAAGGAACTAATTCACTACTCTGTTTAAATAATGGATGAGTTCCTTCTCGTGCACATGCGCTATATTATGCACACGAGACTAACGACTTCTGTCCCATCAGAAGGACGAATAGAGAACAAAATGTCTTATTTCAAGGACATAAACACGATGGGTGTGACAAATTTCAAACTCTAGTTCATCTGTCACCTAAATCCAATCGCCTGCACTAACTCTTCCAAACACTAATGTTTGGCCCTATAATAAGACCCTAACCCTTTTAGCCCTAACAATAATGCTTGGTCCTATAAGACCCATTTTAATGCGACCCGTATTTTGATTTCAAAATAAGTCAACACAATGCATGCAAAATGCCTAAGCCTGTTACGAATAAGCGAATGTCAATTTAAAGAGGTCCGCAAGCTTATACAAATGCAATGCAAAGAACGACGATAACACACAGACACGTTTAGATATAGCTTTTATTGAGCAAACACATCTCGATTTGCTGATGCCGAGCTAACCAATTACTATTTTACCAAATAAAGTGGCAATATAGATCGCACGCTTCCATGGTATTAGCGGACCTACGAACCTTACTCATCCTAAAAGTTACTTTTAGTGTGGCCACTTCAAGAGTATATCGTATTTCAAAGAAATTTCCAATTGACAACGATGCAGCGGGGAGTGATAGTATACTCCGGCAGCGCACTAACGTGTAACGAGATTGTTATTTGTGACTATTTTAAAGTGCTCTTTAATCAGCAAAAGTGAATCTATTTAAAACGCTTGAACCTATCTATGAAAGATCTGTCAACAATGAGTTAAGCTGCCAAGATTGTAAAGCACTTCATCTTATGCTGTCATCGACATCAGGGACGCATAGTACGCTACCACTACCACTGGTCGCGGCGTACAGCAGTGAAATCTTACGTCATGCACTACCACATAGCTTATGAATTCACCATGCATCTTTTATCGCACCGCCTACGCAACATACGGTTGCTCATCGCTCATTCACACAGAAACTGATGCGAAACATTTAGAGTATACACATCATGACCTGGCTTAAATGCGTATTTCTCATCACATTGTCGTCTGTGCATCGATTTATATACTCTTCCAAAACACTCATCGCTGACGTACAAGTTATTGTCCGAATGCCCTGTTCGCTGGAGCCCTAATAAGAGCATTGTTACATAAAACTCGGCAGTCGTTGAAACAAAAAAAATAAAAATAATAATGACATGTAATGTAGACTATAGAAATATATATATATATATATATAAGAGACAGGTCTATATTTTGTCTAATGATGGTAGGCATAATACGTTGACTTTTACTTCTAGTCTAATACTGATCTTTACAAATGCGGGCTGGGTATACTTTTCCAGTTTACAAGAATCAAGAAACATACATTTACATGTGATAGAGGGCTCTACTCACGTCTTAAAATTTACTTTATACCTCCATGCAGTAATTAAGTATCAGATGGCGTACTGCTAGCATACCTGTCTCTTATACACATCTAGATGTGTATATTGGTATAATATATATATATATGCCTATATATATATATATATATATATATATAAATCATTTTTAAATTAACTTGTTCATTTCAAAGTAACATAGAAATCAGTGTATTTAAAAGTTGCTCATAATTTACGAAAAAAAATGATAGGAACACTTCTATTCTTTTTCTGTTCTTAATTCAATAATTTCTATATATGCTCAAGCAATAATGTGTATGTTATTGTAAAATGAGCTAGTTAATTTCATAATTATTAAGGGGAAGTCATTTTCATGGGAAAATTTTTAATGTAGGCCTACAATTGAATTCTAAAGTCCCATAAACCCGTATCGACACAGATGACGAACTAGCCGCGTGAACGTGAAATGCTTATTGAATGCCGTCTTTCAAACATGAAACAAAGGCCTACATTTACCACTTCCATGTGGTCAATAACTGATGAGGAAAGTGTCATTGGCAAACATCGCTCATAATCAGTAGGCCTACCCGCTATGCTCTGACGACGTGCTAATGGTATATCACAATAATCATTGATAATTTCACGTAAGTTCACGTATATTAATGTCAAACGTATGTTGACCCTAAATGTTAGAGTTAAAATCCTACTTGTACTTAAAATGAACCTTCTATTCATCACACTGCTTCAATCCATTGTTTTTCTCTAAATTAAGTAAGCACTTAGCTAGGTCTGCTGCAAATTATTACTATATTTTAACGTTATAAACTCGAAAATATTCTACAAATGAAATCTATTTGCAAAGTTTAGAGAAGGTCATACCTAAAAGTAACACATACTGCCATTATTTCATTATTTACAATTTCATTGTAAGGGAAATAATATGAACTAACACCCCACACCAATCAACTTGACAATTACATAAATTTAAATAAAACAACGTCACCCATAGTCATGGTAAAAAGTGATTCAAACACGTCATTGGTCGTGGTTAGACGCGAAGATGTACGTAGTAAGCGCAATTTATTTCACATTATGGTGATTGGTTCACCGAGGACCAAAATGCTGTCTTGCTATTTCCTGCTTCTATACTGAACACATTTAGAAAATTAGTTTCATACCTGTAGCCACATTTAAAGTATTCCGACCGTTACTCACTTCACTGAGAACAGGATTGATGAGATACTGAATGGTTATAGTATTGATTAAACACATAAAGCTATGATTAAAATGGGGAAAAAAAATATAATTCATAAATATTAAACTGTCAAAATTGGCTGTTAGTGGAAGTAGTTAAATATGTTTGCCAGCGTTGCCAACTCAAACCTCAATATGTTTTTCATGTTACTTGATATTTTACTTACCATAATGGTCAATGGTCGTGAATAGAATCATATAACTTGCCAGGCCTATAAACCGAAGATTGATATAAGATATGAATATGATATTAACATACATATTTAAACATTTTACAATTATTTAAATAAAATTTTGGCATATATATATGTTTATATGTGTGTATGTATGTGTATGTATGTATGTATATATAAAAAATTGAGATATTTTTTTTTTATATATATATATATATATATATATATGTTTATACAAGTCGATGAATCATCATTACAACTAAATTATCAACACTGCTGATATATCTTTCTCTTCTGTATATTTTTATATTAACAAAAGCAACTTTTCAAAATTTTAGTAGACACAAGCGTTTCATTTGTTGGAACTGTAAAACTGTTTAGGCCTACTGTCATTGTAAAACCATCACACTTTGGAGTAATGTTTCTATTAGGATAGGCCTATATAGACACATACACAACAGAATAGACGCAGATAGGTAATTTGTCATAACATTGAATCATTTTAGAATAACAATATTCTGTTCTGCTAATGCCTGATTCGTGTTTTTACTAATATCTATTATATATTTCAATTCAATTCAATTCAATTAATTCAGAATATATATATATATATATATATATATATATATATATAATTATATTACATTTCAATTAAATTAAATTAAATTAATTCCGACCCCCACCAAGGGAAAGAGAAATACAAAAGTACATAAGATACATAAAAAGTACACATAAAATCAATCAATCAATCAATCAATCAATCATTCAACAAGGATGTATATAGCGCCAATATCGACGGCTGAATGCGATGTTCAGTGGCACTATGATAATCATTACTTTTAAGTGCACATTGACTGTGAGGTTAATTAACAATGCTTGTAAGATTATGAAAAAAAAGGGAAAAAAATAAAACAATTTGTGTCAAAAAACATTGATATTTATAGCAATCATGCCGAGGCAGTTGTATTCGGAAAATTGTTAGAGGTACTAAGCCTCCATCGTGTGCGATTCGAACCACACGCTTACCAGTGGTCTCAGTTTGAACTGTTGACAGGCTGTGAAGTGGTTAACGCTGCACTAAGTACGAGTAAAAAATTAAAAAATCCTTACAAATATGCTAACATCGGGCCTGTTACTAGCTATAAATACAACATACTCACACGGCTAGAATCGCAGGTACGAGCCTCTCATTCTCCTATCTAAGAAAATTCCGGATGTGCAATAAGCCAATATGATTATTTTTTTCTGTCAAATGCATTTAGATTGTTACAGGTCTTGTTTGGCCTTATTAATTAACATACAGGGGTGGCGCCAGGATTTGCCCGACAGGGGTGGGGCAAGGTCCCCAACGGGGGACCGATGTCCCAACGAGGGGTCAGATTTCCCCGACGAAAGCAAAGTGGGCGTGATCGAGCTTCGATTAAAAGGTCTCGGAAGCGGTCCAAGGGGCGAAGCCCCGAAAATTTGGACAATTTAGGGGTTTCAAAGGCTTATTTAATCGATTTTAGAGTCTACTAATATGTAGAAATATATATAATTATATTACATTTCAATTAAATTAAATTAAATTAATTCCGACCCCCACCAAGGGAAAGAGAAATACAAAAGTACATAAGATACATAAAAAGTACACATAAAATCAATCAATCAATCAATCAATCAATCATTCAACAAGGATGTATATAGCGCCAATATCGACGGCTGAATGCGATGTTTAGTGGCACTATGATAATCATTACTTTTAAGTGCACATTGACTGTGAGGTTAATTAACAATGCTTGTAAGATTATGAAAAAAAAGGGAAAAAAAATAAAACAATTTGTGTCAAAAAACATTGATATTTATAGCAATCATGCCGAGGCAGTTGTATTCGGAAAATTGTTAGAGGTACTAAGCCTCCATCGTGTGCGATTCGAACCACACGCTGACCAGTGGTCTCAACGGGGGACCGATGTCCCAACGAGGGGTCAGATTTCCCCGACCAAAGCAAAGTGGGCGTGATCGAGCTTCGATTAAAAGGTCTCGGAAGCGGTCCAAGGGGCGAAGCCCCGAAAATTTGGACAATTTAGGGGTTTCAAAGGCTTATTTAATCGATTTTAGAGTCTACTAATATGTAGAAAATACATATAATTTGTTTTTCTCCCTCGGGGAGGGGGAAGCCCTCCCCGACGTGGTGACCCACCACCCCCTCTCCCGCTGGCGCCACACCTGTTAACATATTTGGCTGGAAAGAACACACCAAAGAAATACAGACAGCAATGAAGCAAGAAGAAAACTACACAAATGCACGCATGTATGATGAAATTAAGTATATTATAAAATACAGGCACGGTATACACCAAGAGCTTAAAGGTACCCCTAGGCTAACACAAGAATACGTAGACGCACTATGTTATTATAGAAAAGACTGAAGACTGAGTACATTACACGTAGGCCTACACCTTGAAAATGAGTAGGCCTAGTATAACCAAGACTAACACGCAGGTACACGAACAAATGAAAGTAAGTATTGTAAACCAGCAACTAGGGCTAACACGTACGGATGATGACAACGCTTTCATGGACTGAAAAGGTAAGAAAGGTTAAAAACATAATGAAACGTATAATAGGCAGCCGAACCCACATTGTTGAAATTTACCAAGCACGTGGTATAATTCGTCATTATCATAAACTTATTGATGAACTTCACGCTTCTCACTTTTTGTAAAATAATATTGAAATCAACGCGCTGCACTTATTATTATTTTTATTTAATTGCAACTCTAATTCCCTGGCTTTCAAACCGACAATATAGGCCTACCGGAATATTAAATATTAATGTTTGGCACCTGTCTTATACGGTAGTATCATAATTGCCTCTATTTCTTATAAGAGCGTTAATGCATTTGTGGTATCGTTATTTATATTTCATGGACACTCGCTCTCAGTTCACACACATGAATAAAAAACATAAATCAGTGGTGACGTAGGAGTTCATTTTACAGAGCCCCATTATTTCGTGTCTCTCGGGTGAGAAAATGGCGTACTGCTAGCATACATACACACAGATTATAATATATATTATGACTATTTATTATGTAATTAACACTTCACATTAACAAACGATTTATATTGAATTAATAAATTCAACAATAAAATAATAATGTCATCTTTTAAGGCGCACGTATCCATCTCAGAGAACAGTACAAGGCGCCAATTTTCACCTGCAAAAGACACGCTTTTATGCAATATTATTTTTAATTTATATTTTCTTTAAGTACTGTATATCTTCGGAGATCCTGTCTTGTCGTTATAAAGTGATTAAGCTGAGGGCGTGTCTTATTGACATCTGATGTTGCACAGTGCGTTAACCAATGGTTGCTAAACGAATATAAAATGAGTATGAAAGTTAGTTACCACCAATCGGACTCGAAACCTTAACGCATGTTCACTGGCTCAGTTGCACATCGATGCATACAAAAGGTAGGTGAAGGTAGAAGTTCGAATCCCGGTTTAAGGCGGCAGTTATCGTCTGATACCACCTACCTATCACATCTATATTTGTTATATACATTTGTTTTGCCATTTTTGTTTTGCAATACACTATTCTTCTGCCTGAATTTAGCTTAGTTAGGCCTATATAGAATACAGGCACGTGATCATTCGCCATCACGTGGTACGCCTAATTACCATATTTTTATAAAACGTATCGGTCGATTGCCAATTTCCCTTTCGCCAGTGTAATTCCGGCAAATGTAAAAATGTTTTATTCAAAAAAGCAGCTGATTGAATCGTGGGTAATTATCAAAATAATGCACTAATTTCCTTCATTAATAGACATTCGAATTATAACGAGAAAGATTCAGGGATGCACACGCTTTGTTCAAAGTGTTTCAAAAGTACTTATCAAAGTAAAGTCAATTTGAACTGTTTATGGACGTTGATGGTTGCACTTGATAGTTGAATGCAGTGCTAAGTGAACCAGGAATATCTAGCGTATGCCTCTTAACAAAAAGTGTTTGACCTTAGTTTCTTTAAAAAAATCTACATTCTATCTCCAATTACAGACACATGCAATGCAATATAAATGGCCAATTATAAGGCCTAGAAAGTGGAATAAATTTATGAGCAGGAAATAGAGGATTTGGATATTATAAGGCAGGCATGTTAACTAAATCAAAGATAATATTAATCAATGAACAAATATTAACTAATTTGCAGTCAATAATATACGTTCATTAACTTTTATCTTCAGGCGTTCATCCATCAGTTGTGAGGCAAATACGAGTACATTACGACCTTGGCCTACTACCAACTAGGTACTACTGTGAGGGCTCTGTTAGATTAAGACTCTGTTAATCACCTGGATTATTATTATTATTATTATTATTAATATTATTATTATTATTATTATTATTTATTATTATTATTATTATTATTATTATTCTTATTCTTATTCTTTATTATTATTTATTATTATTATTATTATTATTATCATAATTATTATTTTCATGAAAAGTGTATTATTATTATTCTTATTCTTTATTATTATTATTATTTATTATTATTATTATTTTTATTATTATTATTATTATTATTATTATTATTATTATTATTATTATTATCATTATTATTATTTTCATGAAAAGTGTAATGATTAGTGTGCATTGTATGGCTATAGTCAACGTCAGTCGAGTGTCCACTGTAAAGTACATGTATAATTCATGTCTTGTTTTTCAATTCAATGATTTTCAATGATTCTTTAACCAATGAAGTATCTTAACATTCAAAACTAAAATTGTATTGATTTTTGATTGCTAAAAATGAATAAACAAGTGTGATAATCATGAATTAATTCAGCTAATCGTTTTCTTTGTTTTTTTTTTGAAAATATTATTAAATGGTATTAATTAACTGGATGGCGCAAAGGCCTACAGAGTAACATATCAGAGCTGCGAATGCAAAATAAATCTATTGGATACACCTCCTGTGACGTCATCCGATTTTGCATGCATAACATAGTGGCCAACCAATTGTTAAATTATTAATG